AAAAAAGTTTTATTTTTATTTGTTTTCTTTTAGCAACTGGTGACATAAATAATTTTTCGTAACCAGTTTTATAATGTTCAACACAAGTGCAAGTAGATAATTTTGACAATTGTTGCGATTACAAAAAATGCCACTTTATATGTCAAAATTAGAAAATATTATTTACACCTTTTTCTGGCATTTTAAAAATCGACTATACTGTGTCTCATTAAAAAAGGGACACAGAACAACTGAAGATTATTTGACGATTAAACAAAACATACTTAGATAAAATATTAATCGTTTCCGAAATAAGGGGTGTTAAAGTTGAAAATTCAAAAATTATTAATGAATATAATATTATTTCTCAGTATAATTTTGCCAAATTCGGCAAACATTTTTGGTCTCATAAGGTACACCTAACCGAAAAAAAAAATCAGTTAAATAAACTTTACCAGTGGCGTACGGAATCGGTAAGTCACGGGTTGTTTGAACTTGGTTTAACCGCGAAGTCCTGGGACATGAAATTTTCTTTCAGGGATTTGATCCTTCAGTCATTCCAAGTAGAAATACGCAATTTTCAGCTCAAACCACTGGGCTATTTTTAAATGAAACCATTTTTCCGCAAATTATATATTTCAAATGTTGAAAAAAAAAAAATGTTCGCGATCCTGGTAGCTATTTTACTCAATTCAAACATCTTTATTGTTGTGAATCCTCTCAAACTTTTAGGATTTGTTTACATTTGGTGCAATTAGTCTGTTTATGTGAATGTTCTGTGCAAATTTTTTGTACAGCGATGTGTGTGTATGTGATGTTGTTATTGTCCAGTACGCCGGTTCAACGACCTGTGGTTTTGCTTTGTTTCTATTTAATTTTATTATTTAGTATTCGCCCTGAGGGCATAGAAGAAGAGTCACTGAACCGCGTTGAAATGGCATTTCAAATCCAACGGCACGCTAATCATTCTTTGTCTCATGAAGAAAATCGGAAAAAGTTGTGTTTAATTTGTCTCAAGAAAAAAAAATACTTCCATCTGCAGAAACATCTTCAAAAAGTGACAAATGGCAAAGTTGACCAATACTTGGACAATTTCAGACTTCCAAATGTACTGTGTCTAAACTGTAGAAAAATTGTGTATAAAAAAATAAGTGACTACAATTCTCACGGATATTTAGAGGAATTTGATTTACTTTTCGGTGTTCAACGGGGAGCAAATCATGACAAGTAAGGGCCCAAAAACCTTGCATGTGCTACTTGTGTCTTTTGGCTAGACCATCGATTTTTCCCAGTCCAAACTCCGGAAATATTAAATCTGCTGTCAAAAACTGTGATCGTAGTTCAAGAGTGGTCGGTAAAAAGCGTTCAACTGACAAGAAATTTGTGAGTATCCAGGCACAAGCGGAAAAACTAGAAGTGAAAGAGAAGGAACAACTTGTGAGCGCGCTCATCAAAGATTTGCAAATCAACAATCGTACCTCAGACCAAAGTCCTGACAGTGAACCTGGATCTTGTCTCTGAGTCAACGCAATGGCGGAAGACAAATGAAAATATGTGTCAATCCCCGAGAAAATGTTGCTCCCAGAGTGATTTCAGTTGAGGACTTCTCTAAAATAGGGACCAGATTTAACCTGAGTGGAAAAGTTACCCTTGGAATCGCTAGTGCAGTGAGGGTTGCAACAAAATCTCGAAATATCGTTGAATCAGGCTTAAAAACGTACCTACATGCCAAAAATCATTACGTTGAAAGATTCTTCAAATGTGAACAGTTTGATTTCGTGAAAATTAAAGGAAAGGAGCTGGAAGAAACACCAAAAACGGTCGATTTTTGTAGCGATGTTCGGGGGTTTTTGCAGTACGTGGAAGAAAGAAGACTAGAACGAGATATTCAGTTGAAATTTGGAGTTGACGGTGGAGGTGGATTTTTGAAAGTGTGCCGCTCAGTGCTAACGCGAAATTTGAATGAAGAGGAAGTTGTCCCTGAGAAAAGGCAGAGATATACATATATACGGTGTTTTAGCAAATGATTTGAAGGATTGTGTTGTTAAAAGACTTTTAATATTGGCTATTGGAAAATGCACCCAAGAAAATTACGATAATGTCGCCGCTCTATGGAATCTCTTACAAATCAACAATTTTGATGGAACAATAGCCACTGATCTGACATTTGCAAACATCCTTTCCGGTCTCATGGCCCACTCAACATCGCATCCATGTACATGGTGTGATGTACACAAGACAAACCTTAAGGATTGCGGATCTTATCGTCTGGTAAATTATGAGAACTGGACAGCGAATGGCGCAATCTTCAAAAATGCCAAGGATTATAAAAACTGTATAAAACCCCCAATAATTTCCACCGACGATGACAAGAGAATTATTGAAATTATCCCCCCACCTGAACTCCATTTAATGCTGGGAGTAGTAAATACAGTAGTCGGAGTCATGGCGAAAGAGTGCGAAGTTGACACCAATAAGTGGTTGAAAACATGCGTTGTAGAAAGATAAGTTACCCATGGTGGCTCTGAAAACTCGTGTAGGATATTGTTAAAAAGAGTGAAAGTTCTTCACCAGCTCTGCTGCCTGCAGTGCCTAAAACACGCACAAGTTCTTCAGGATTTCAACGAAGTGGTTGAAAAGTGTTTCTCAACCGCTTTGTTAGACGGTTTCTCCAAGAGCATAGAGCAATTCAAAATTAATTATTTAGCTTCGGATTTGCCAGTGACGCCCAAAGTTCATGCCGTGTTTCACCACATTGAAGATTTTTGTGACGACAAACAAATTGGCTTAGGTTTTTACAGCGAGCAGGCAATGGAATCGGTTCATTTTGATTTCAATAATTTGTGGTCAAAATATTGTGTCTCAGAAAATCATTCGAGCTATGCTCAAAGATATATGATGCCGTGGTTGCATATAATAGTCATCATCTGTAACAACTCATTTAATACAGAATAAAAATCCTCGTTATACTTCTAATAATAAAATTAATTGTCCATTTTTCACTTATTTCCAGCTATCGAAGTGGGTGGGACAACAAAAATATTTGAAAAAGTGATCTCTTATTTGAGAATTTTTTTATCCCCTCGCCTACAATTTTTTCCACGTTAAAAATTGATTTTTTTCGCGAAAAACGGCCTCACTCGAAAATAGCCCGGTGGTTTTGGCTGAAAATTGTTTATTTCGACTTTGGGTGACTGAAGGAACATATCCCTGAAAGAAAATCCCATGTCCCAACACTTTGCGGTTAAACCGACTTCAAACCACCCGAGTAACAACTTCATCTCCTCAAAATTTTATGCCACTGATCAAAAACTTATTTGGATTATAATTTTGAATATTTTGATGTTTTTTTTTTTTAAATAAATCATGTACGCAACTGGCAAAGTTTATTTAACTATTTTCTTTGCAGTTAGATGTATCTATGAGATTAAAAATGTTTGCTGCCGAATTTAGTAAAATTATACTTGGAAATAAAAAAATTATAGCTATTAATATCCTTTGAATTTTCAACTTATTCGGAAACGAGTAATATTTTGTTTCATTTAAGCCCAATTTCACCGTTAGTAGTTAAGAAATTACATTTTTACATTAACAATGTCATTTTAATATTTGATTAGTAATTTAAACTTAGTTTAATACAACGGTGGAATCGGCCCTAAGTCGTCTTATTTTTAATCAGAGAATTTTCAGTTGTTCTGGGTCCCTTTATATAAAATTACGAAGAAGAAGAAAATGTTGACTGGCTCTTAAATTACATATAAATGGACCCAACAGATAAATACATTTCTAGTTATGCCGCGGAAAAGTTCAAAACATAAACATGCCAGCTATAAGGGAAAATTAATTTATTAAAGTAACAAGTACAAGCCCATTGTAAATTAATTTAAGGACTGTGTTGTTTCTGTACAATGTTTTGTTTAATATAAGGGTTGATAAAGTTGATGATTACTTACGGTAATAATTACAAAACTAGTCAAGCCATTAGTTGTGTAGGTATGTGTAAAATTGTAGCAGGAAGGTACATAATATGTACATTTGATGCTAAAAAACTAAGCAAAAACTCACCTTATTAGGAAAAACGATAAAATTACGCATGCAATATCTACTTATAAAACATATTTAAAGGTAGGTATTAATGTTGCGTCAAAAAGACTTGATTAATAGAAGCGATTCATTTGCACTTAATTTAAATTCTCCAAATCAAAAGTGACAGGGTAACGAATCAGACGAATATAGTGGTACACACAGTATATTTTTTAATCAGACATAACTGTTGGATAAAAAGATACTGTTGTAAAGCAAATAAAACCTCAGAATGTCACCAAGCCTTCAACAATATGGTTACCTTAAGATGGATCAAAGTTATTGTTGTTTATACTGTTACATTCTATAAATATAATAATATAGAGGGTATCCTATTTAAAAAATGTTTATTTTTTAGTTTTATTGAAAACATTTTTATAATGAATCATCCTAACATGAAGAAAATCATCAATTGCTCATCAATACAGTCCACAAACTTCTCAAAAAATAATTAGGCAATCCAATTTACGTGACTTAAAATAGTAGACGATTGGAAATCACTCTAGAAATTAATAAATTATTGTAGGATCCAATCGTTGACCATATTGAAAATTTTAAATAGATTATTTTTCACTAATTTAATCTTAGTGGGAAGAGTTATGTAATCATAACATTGACCAGATGATTACACAAAGATGATTTTTATGACAAACATTTTTCCGAACGTTGGATTGTCAAAAAAGGATCGTGGAGTGGCCAACTGGATCACCAAATGTTTTACCATAAGATTTATTTTAAATACAAAAATATACGCCATTTTGTTATAAGTATGGAAGAGCTGTGACAGTGTAACTGAGAATTTTTACAAATATGTATATGTATAGGTACTTCTATTTAATCAAATCTATTTGACACACCCGGTACGTGTATACACAACACAAAAGCACAAAAACGCTCAACGTTCACAAAGTTTTAAACTTGTGACTTTTGACACTTACCGTGGTAGGTGTAGGCGCTAAAGTGTGTTTGCTCATCACTATCGTGGTGGTTTTTAGTTCAGAATTTGGCGATTTAGGTGGTATGGAGTTCTCTATTGGGCCATGTGCTAACGTTTCTACTGCTCGTACTACGTCCAAAACCTGGAAGTTATTACATTTATTCAATTTTTTTTGAGGGTAAGTAATAAAATTTGATCAATAAAATTGCTTCACAAAATAAAATAAAACCAATAAAAAGTATGATGTTCACTACTTCAACGTACAACAAAACCAGCTTAATGCTATACAAGGTATTTCGTAATTTAATATGGTACAGAATTCCATTAAACAATTCAAGTAGGTAACTTTTAAGAATCCCAAAAATTACTGAGATGACTCCTTTAAGTTTTAAGTACGTTACGAAAATAATTATAATACATCAGCTTTGCAAAATAAGCACGCGATTTTAAAAAAAGTGTAATTGATCGTTTTATACTCAATTAGTAATACATAGTTGGAAATTTATTCGATCAATTATATAATTTTTATAAAATAAGAAGACTGGAAATGATGTACACACTAAACATGAGGTGAAGAGTGAGATATAAATACTGAATAAAAAATTTAAATTTTTATTAAAAATTAGGCGGAGCGCTTTCAGATTTACAAGACAATCAATCATACTACCACAGGAAGCTATAAATAAAAAAAAATATTTGGTAGATACATGTTAGTGATTACTAGAGAGCGGAATATATGTAAAATGCATATATATGCATTTATTGCATATTTTACCAAAGTTCAGAAAATTTAAGAAAATATTGCATATTTTCGAAAAAAAAAAAATGTATTACTATACTGTGCAAATCAAAAATTGTTTTAACAGATTATACAGATATATTTGAAATAAAGACCTTTTAAATTTTTGTATTTGTTTTTAAGTGTCACTTCTTGTAAATTCTTGTTAATTAGTTCTTGGAGGGTGGCATGCACTGGGTTTTTACCTTCTTAAGAGATTAAGCCCATTAAGATAATTGTTAATAGATGGTATTTACACAGATAAAGTATTACCTACAATGCAATAAAACGGTTTATATAAAATTCTCATTAATTTCTTGTAACCAATCTACCCTAACATCGGAATATTTTTAATGTTTTTCATTCAGTTTAATGAGATAGTATCCTCGTTATTTGCCTAGTGAAAAGTCTTGTAATAATTTGTTGTTTTAAAAGTGTCCTAAAATGTCGAGAATTTCTTCGTGGATTATTAACTTTCCAGAGTTGGAAATCAATAGGGATAGTTTTTTGTAAAGCTTGTGCCAAAATAGTGGTTTGCGAAAAAAAGTTCAAAGTGGTTCAACACGTGAAAACATCATTGCATAAAGCCAAATTGCAAAAAATGAAATCACAACCGGTTCAACAATGCGTTGTGGGGTCATTTCAAAACGCCGACAAAACAAAAAGTGACAAGGAGGTATTTAATCAGGACTTGTGCAAAGCTCTTGTTGCGGCAAATATACCATTAAAGCAGTTACAAAACCTACATCTAAGAGAATTTTTACAAAAATATTGCAATCAAACCATTCCTGACGAATCTACACTCAGAAAAAAAAATGTACATGCTATAAGATAAGAAATTAAAGTTTTACTGGATGATAGCAATTTTTACATCATTGTTGATGAAAGCACAGATGCTTGTGGAAGATATATGGTACATCTTATGATTGGAGCCTTAAAAAAAAATTAACCAGGTACATCATATTTAATTGCATCAAAACAGAAAAAACTAACAATACAACTGTTACCCGATTTATTCAACAATCTCTAGCAGAATTTTTTTTACCAAATCAATTTCCCTCAGAGAAGTTCTTAGTGTTTTTGTCTGACGCAGCACCATATATGATAAAAGTAGGGCAAAACTTATATATTTTATCCAAATATGGTCCACGTTACTTGTTTTCTGCATGGAATAAACTTAGTTGCAGAAACTGGGAGAACAGAATATCCCTTGGTTAACAAGCTGATTTCGAATGTGAAAAAAATATTTTTAAAAGCCCCTTTAAGAGTGCAGTTGTATAAAGAGAGAATGGGGGACATGGATTAGAGCAGCTATATATTATGCAGAAAATTTTGAAGCAATTAAGGTATTAATTTTGGATATAGAAGACAATTCACAATGTGTAGTGCAAAGTAAAGAATTGTTAAAAAATCCCCTTGTGCCTAAGCAACTTGTGTTTATAAAGGTTAATTTTAGTTTTTTACCTGATGTAATAACTTCATTGGAAAAGAAAAATTTAAGTTTAATCGAATCAACAAATTTTATTGCAACAGTTTCCGATAAATATAACAATGTTCCTGGTGACATAGGCCTTAAGATTAGAAAAAAAATTAAATACAATTTTATTAAAGAATGAAGGGTTCAATGAAATAAGGGAAGTGAAAAACATTTTTGAGGGAAAATTTTCCAAAGAAGTTTTACGTTGGCCCTGTACATTACTTCCAAAATTACGGTATTGTCCTATTACTTCGGTAGATGTTGAAAGGACCTTTTCTATATCAAAACATATTTTTACAGACAGAAGACAAAAATTTTTAATAGAAAATTTCGAAAAATATTTAATAATAAATTCCTATTATAATATTACTATTTAATATTTTTATACTATTCTATACTTAACTTCTACTAGTTTTTGTGTTTCGTTTGTTTTAAATAAATTTTTATATTACAAATTTTCTTTTGTTTTTTTTTTTCGTGTAATGGCTTTGATAGCGTACCAAATTAGGAACAGCAATGTTACTTAGAACCCAACAGTGAATGGTCAAGTGGAAATATTCGCTAGGCATCAGAATTAATTTTTAAATAAATTAATTAATTTAAAAAATCGCGTCCCGGCTGGAATTTGAACCCGGGAACCCTAAGTCCACAGGCCAACGCACTAACCACTGAGCTACCCACCCCCTACTTTTTTTTAAGTATTTTTAACAAATATACATTTGCATATTTAGGCATAATTGGACAAAATAACTGCATATTTTTGGTAAAAACGATGCATATATATGCGCATATTTTGTTATATTTTGATGCATATATTCCGCCCTCTAGTGATTACCAATAATCAATTCTAATCAAGGTAATTCAGTTATTATAAGAGTAATGGCTTGTTAGGCAAAATAAACTGATTTGGAATGTTCTCTTAACGTCCGAACTTCCAAATGATTATTTTATTTAATACTTCTTTTGTTGGTATCTATTAAGAAATGGCTATGATGACGGTTTTGTAAAATTAAAAGCACTAATTTTTAATACAAATTTAAATTTTTTATACACTTTTTACCTAAATAATTTTTGATTAGATTTTAGTTAATCGGAACGGCCTTAGGGTTCTGACGCCAATGGTAGTGGGATTTTGAAATTAAATTACGATTATTATTAGATTTGGAGAATTGTCGGATTAGTTCTTAGATTGTCAAGGAATTTTAGAATTGTCAAAGTGGTTGAAAATTTTTAATTCGAAATAAAAATAAATTGTATTTAAAAATTGTTTATTGAAGTTTGAAGGTTTGAAAGGTTGAATTAAAATGAAATAAAGATGAATGAAAATAAAAACAAGCATAATTTGAAAAGATGACAAGGAGTTGAATACATAAAAAAGTAAAAAAGGAGTGTTTTGGAAAGTAGCAGATAAGCAGTTAAAAAAGAAATGGAAGCAGGAGACCAGGAATTATAGAAATGCAGGAGTTAGAGTAAAATACAGGAGAACGTGAGGTACAGAAAGTCAGGAAGTAAAGCAGAAAATTTAAAGTCAAAATTTTAAATTTATTTAGATGATTCTTTTGAAATTATTGTAGAAAGCCATTAAAGCCACAAACCTTAGTGCTCGTAGGATATTTAAATAGTTCAGCTTGTCCAAAGTGGAACCATTACAAACTGGCGCCCAACGTGGGGCAAACATTTGGCAGCGGTAGGGGTAGAAGTGATGAAAGCAGGACAGCAGCAAGAAACGGTAAGATATTTTTTTTTGAGAGAGAGATAATTTGAGAGAGTGGCGGGATATGGGTTTAGATAGTAGAACATAAAATTAAAAAAATAGATGAAATTAGGAAGTGGTACAAAAATGGATAATACAGAAGAGATTTGTCAAGGGGAGAAGGTTCAGATTCACGTAGAAGTTTGGGAGGAAGAGAATAAAATAGTAATGAGGAGAATGGAAGAAATGAGAGAAAGAATAGAAGAAGATAAACAAGAAATAGTAGAAATAATGGAAGAAGATAAATTACAAATTGCACAGAAGTTAGATGAGACTGGAGAGAAGATGGAGAAAATAAAGGAATAATTAGAAACTTTTTTATTCAGGTACTATCTTTGAAATAGTCCTGTGCCTTTGGTTATTTTTAATAAGTTCCCTATTAAGGGTTCCTGGGGCGTTCTTTCCGATTTTAGGTAGAAAAGGGTGAGACGCCGCTTAGCAAGAGCTTCACATTCGAAGATCATAAGGTATGAGGTTTCTTCTTCTTACAATAACATTCAAGACAAAGAAACGGAAAATAAAAGTGTCGAAATAAAGAAGAAATAGATGTAAAGATTAAAATTGAAGAGATAGAAATAGTAATTGAAGAAAAAGGAGATAATGAAGAAAAACAGATTTATAATGTAGAAAAAGTAAATATGAATAAAATTAGTAAACGAAAAAGAAAAATTGAAGCATTATAAGAAATAAGAAAATTGAAGAACTAAAAGAAAAAATAAATAAGAAAATTAAAGAAAAAACAAATTAAAAAATATGTAAGAACAAAAATAAGATTAAAATAAAACAGATACAGAAGGAGTATGAAAAGAAAAGTCAAAGAGAAAATAAAATGAGGATAAAAGTGATGCGAAGCAAGAGTAAAAGAAAAAATGGGATAGGTATAAATGAATGTATAATAATGAAGAATCAAAGATTGACTAAGAAGAAAAGTGAATAGTGTAAATTAAATGAAATGCTCTTCATCTATGTATATTTATTGATTGTCAAAATTATACTAGTAGAAATGTCGGGGTGGTGTATAAAAATTATAGTAGTCAGAAAAAAATTTCTTTTGAGGATTTTGATTATCCTTTGTCAGCGGGGAAATGAAATTAGAGAAGTCAGAGGGAATAAATATTATTTAATTGTAAATAGAAGATAAGTTGTTGTTTGGAGTTGCGTTTATGTTCTGGAATGTTAAAGACAAATATTAAAAAAAGGTAAACGGAAAATGTTATTTAAACAAAATGAAAGCAAAGTCGCAGAGATAAATGAAGAACAGCCAGAGTGTCAGTGGCAGGAGAGACATCCTGAGGAGCAGCACCAACAGGCAAAAAGGTCAGAAGGAGAAGCAGAAAAGTCGGAGAGTAACACAGAGAAGACAAGAATTGTTATCATTTCAGTTTAATTCAGTTGTAATATTTTAGAATTGAGATTTGTTCATTGATTGGAAATGATATATTTCGGAAGGAGGTTTCCATATCATTTTATGTATACATGAAATTTTCGAAGTTTCCGTATTTTTTCAATAATGTATACATTTAAGTGAAGAATATTACCAATTTTGTACTACATAAAAGATGATTTCCATGATTACACACTAGAACTGTCGTTATAAACAAGACCTCAGTAACTACGGAAACTATGGAATGGAGATATTTGTAACAAAAGAAATTTATTAGTTTTAGCATTTTGATCGGTAATACCAATATAGGTGCTTTTGTTGAATTAAAGACAATTTTTGGATAATTCTTTTAACATAAGTTTGATTTAATTTTTTGTAGGTGGGTGGGTTAAAAGGTTTTTGCTAGGAATATTCTATAAAAATGTTAGTTACGGTGAAGAATTAAGATGATATTTAAGGATAGAGAATAAATATTACTGGGATTTTGCTTACTTTTTAGGAATAAAACATGAATTTAATTATTTTTCACATTTTGGATAGTCGTATCTTTTTTTAATTATATCCAAATAAAGATATATTAAAAACAGACTTAAATTTTGAAACGGCCTGTTTAACTGTTTACAGTGTGGAAAGAAAGTCTGGAACATCCCAAATATAACTGGAAAACGCTCGAATATGTCAATATTTATTTTAAATTTATAACTTTAGTTATTTCAATTTTCAATGATTTAAATCTTTAGTAACTTACTTTTTCAGCGGGCGATGGCGGTTTTGCTTCGACAATTGACAAGTTCTCCTCCTCCTCATCTTCTTCCTCTTGGCTTATAGGTTGTAGACGCCTCTCAGCCTCTTCTTTTTCAAATTGCAACAATTCCGTTTTCGCCCTTTGTTCCTGAAATTAAAGAACATTTTTCAAAGCAGTCTAAACACAATAATTTTAAATTAATTTCTTTGTAATTTATTCGACTTACATGTTGGCTATCTTCGTCAGGAACATCCAAAGAGCTCACGCTCTGTGATCTGCTGCTAACAGAACTACTCCTGTTTAGTCGGCCATCTTGCACTGCCCTGTCCACATCGCTTTTGTCGTAACCCTTACAAACTACCATATGGATAACGTTTCCGCAAGCTCTTAGTGCGTTAACTGCCTCTTGATGAGTTGCACCTAATAACGATTTTCCGTTCACTTCTAACAATCTCATGCCGGCTTTCAGTCTACCATCCCTCCTGGCGGCACCAACGGAGTTAATTTTGGATACGAAAACTCCCTCGTCGGATCTATCTAGGGGATTCCCCCGCTGCCCTTGAAGGCCACCCTTTATGTGCATACCAAGTTTTTCGGCATCCGTTTTTTCAATAACCAATTCCTGTAAGTTTTAACGTTAGATTAAAAACTCCAGAAATTAATATGAAGATTATACATATATAATTAATAAATTCTGCGCATGCGTCCAAATTAGAAAACGAGCCGCTTGCGACAGGTTTTCTAACCTTTTTTAGTTATTATATAGTTATAAAAAACTTTTATTTGAAAAGGGGAGAAACGTATTTCTTATATTTTTGATGTTGACAGCACCATAGTTTATCTAATTTATTAAAAGGAAACTACCAAACAAATATTTGTCTAATACATATTCTCTTTAGATTGTGACAACATTTACATAAGATGGCCAGGAGGGTATCTAAGTATGAGTAAATCTCAACTACACTACTTTGATTTTAATAACATCAAAAATTAAGTAAAATTATAAAAAAAATTCTTAAATGTGTGACAATAACAGATTAGATATAGAAACTTTGCTACTACATAATAACAAAATGAAAATATCTCCTGATAAAAAAGTTTTTAAGAAAATTCCTGTTTCTATTAAAAATCAGTTAGGCGATAGTAGAGCAGCGATAGGAATTGGACAGGTTTTTTGCAGTTCTTCCACTTCATATTATAGAGGATATTAAAGTTTTTTTAATAAAAAGAATATTATACGAGGATGGGATGAAAAGTTTCCGGCCTAACATAGAACGCAACACAATAGTGACTGAATAAGAATTTATTTCTCTACATAGTCCCCTTGTAGGGTAATACATTTGACCCAACGATGTTCAAGCGATTTAATACCGTCACTGGTCTGATTTATCCAATTCATCAAAATAGGCGTTTGTGGCTGCAATTACTTCTAAACCGTGAAATTTTTTTTGCCAGCAAGAAATTTTTTTAGATTTGGAAACAAAAAAAAGTCTGACGGGGCTAGGTCTGGCGAATACGGAGGATGGTTTAACAGTTCAAAGCCTAGCTGATGTATTTTAGCCAATACAACAACGGTGCATTGTCCTGATGAAACAGAATTTTCTTTTTTGCCAAACCAGGGTGTTTTTCGCTTATATTCTGCTTAAGCTGGTCCAGTAAGTCGCTGTAGTACTCGGAATTTATTGTTCTTCACTTTTCGAGATAATCTATTAGGAGTATCCCTTTAGCATCCCAAAAGACCGTTGCTACGACCTTTCCAGCAGACGGTACTGCCTTTGCCTTCTTTGGAACTGGTTCGTCCTTTGCAGTCCAGTGTTTGGACTGTTGTTTAGTTTCAGGGGTATAATGATAAACCCATCAACCGTAAAAAATCTACGCAAAAAGTCCCCTGGATCACGTCTAAACAGTGCCAAATTCTCCTCTGAAATGGTTAACCGCGTGAGCTTCTGAAATAGTTAGCCGCGTGAGCTTCTGATCTGACGTGAGCAAACGCGGCGCGGATAGCTTTATCATACCTAAAACTTCACAAAAAATATAGTGAACTCGCTCTTTTGATATGCCCACAGCCTCAGTTACCTCTTCCAATTTTAATCTGCGATCTTTTAGAATTAGTTTGTGAACGGTTTGCAGAAGTTTTTGGCCTGCAAGAACGCGGAGCATCATCAGTGCTAGTACGACTACGTTTAAAGTCCGCTACCCAGGTTTTAACTGTAATGAAGGAGCAGATTCCCCTAGTGTAGCATCTAGTTAAGCTTTTATTTCCGTCGGCGATAATCCTTTGATAAGGAAATATTTTATCACCGCTCTTATCTCGTTTTTACCATCTTTTAAAAGTGGCGCACTTTATAAGCTTTTAAAATACCCAGGACACAAACTACTTGACGCACTCACTTTAAACTTCGAGCGTATACTGACGACAAGCAAGGCTACACAGACACGTTGGAACAGGAAAGCTTATCGGGCCTACTATAGGTTAGGCCGGAAACTTTTCATCCCATCCTCGTATTCCACCTCTATTTATGACTTTCGTATGATATGATTCAATTGTTTCAATCATAACCTGGCAATACGTCTCTGGCGTTCATTATATTTTCCGTTAGCCGATGTTGCTGGCCGGCAGGGCTAAAAACTGTATCGCCCTCAATTCACACATATTCAGGCGATCAGATAGGGCAACTTTGCTCGCGTCCGTAGGTTTTAAACATGCAAAAGGACTACGGAAATTTCACCTTGCTCCTGTGTAGAGTGTAGACAGTGAGTCTGTTTATTATCTTAGCAGTGTCGCCAATGTCCAGATAATTATCCGATTTTTGGATATTTTGTGTCCCATCGGATAATTTTCAGATAATTCAATGTTCTACAAAATTGACGTATATCTTATATTACTATGAACGTATGAAAGTATACAATCATTTAATATGAATTAAATATATTTTATATATAAAAAATTGTTAATACTACTATTGAAGCACTTGTGTACAGAGAATTGCTTAAAAACACGGCGATCTTTATGTGTAGCATAATAATTGAATCAAGGGATTTCCCGAAAGCAATATGGATTTCATAAATCATTGAGATAGAATAAAGAGGAGATGCTATGACGATGCTAAAGTGTCCGCATCTATGCATTACACTTTTACGTCATATGTCAAATTCGAGTTTTGGTGAGAATAAATCCCTTTTTTTAAATAGCTTCATTTAAATGGTATAAAATCATTTTCATTTTGTCAGACTTCAAATATAAAAATATTGACTTCAAATAAAAAATCAAAGTACGACTCAAGTTGCCATTTTCATTACACTTTTCCGTCACTCGAAATGCGTCCATCCTACATATCGCAAAATAGTGTTTATGCCGTCTCTACTTTATTCTATCTCGATGATATAAATAAATGACCTGTCTTCACCGTGCAGAGGTACAAAATATATTTTAAAAACTAATTTTTCGAGACTTCTGCTGAAAAATGAATCATTGGAAAGGTCTAGTCCCGATTTAAAACTTAGTTAGGCAGACAAAAGTTCAAAAGTTTATATTCAAGGCGATTTTCAAGATAAGTGTATAATAAAAATCAGTAGATATGTGTTTTCACGAATTAAACAAGTGTTTTATTGAATTAGAAGTTAAATGTGACAAAAATATTACTTGTACATCGACAATTTTGACAAAAAGTGGTAGAACACAAGTACTTAAGTTAGGATAAACAAAAAGTGTGTTAAATAAGGGGAATATTACCTATCAGGTCACCTAATGGGCTTTGGTAAGTTTTTCTGGACAGTAAATTGCAGAAGGAATTAGCTGTACAAGTACAGGGAATTGCAAGAAGTTTAAAGACGTAAAGGACTTAAGAGGAATTTTTGGAATTGCCAAGGAATTTTGGGATTTACCAAATAATGTCCGGAGAATTGCGCGAATTACCGAAGAATTGAAAGATAATTTTATAGGACTGGATAGTAAAAAGGTGTCAGTGTTTGTGAACCCTCTTATTTCAACATTTTACATGTCCTAGCGTTTTCGTATCACCCTATAAATCTGTACTTTATAAAGTTCATTGAATTTGCTTCGTCAATATTATTTATTTAGGATAAATGTTAATTTCCAATATGGTTTTGCGGAAAACCATGACACTGAAATAACAAAATGATGTTGTGGATATGGTTTTAGCGGTTAGAAACAATATGTCATAAAATTTATTTGAATTGGTTTGGTTTTCCTTATGCTCTACCTAATACAAAGACCATAAATAAGAAAGCTTTGCGTTAATGCTATAATATAAATCAGATGGAAAAAAAGTAATTATAAAATAAGAAAATAAATTAAATATAATTGAAACCGAAAAATAAAATAATCCTAACATAAAAGAATATCTATTTACCAATTATTACCTAAAAAAACGAAATACTTAAGTAATTAATATGACGCATGTTATATTAAATTAAAAAAAAAAATAATTGTTCATGACTTTTAAGTCACTAATAATACACTATAAAGTATAAAGAAATGTGTCTAATTAAAATTATTTCTAGAACAAAAACAAAAAAATCTACATTACTGTGAACACGTTTTATAGGACTTACCTTAGCGTCAATATATGAAACCATGAGTTGCTTGTAAAAGTACATTAAATTTAATAGCAATAAATATTAATTATTAATAATTTAGTTGTCATTTACATAATTTACGTATTAAATAATTAAGTTAAATAGATAAGATGGAAAGCTTAGCTGTATTGATTTCAATAAATTAATTTAATATATATGTAAATATTTCGTTTATTAAATGACCATAATTTTATAAAAATGTTTGGTAGGTTTAAAGAAGATATTTTAATATAAGGAAACTAAATCATGTTACAATAGACCGTAATAGTGTGACGTAATTTTTTCTAAACAAAACCAAATTAACCGTGACAACGGCTGGGCCAATGCTGTCATAGTTGTCAAAACTTTAATGGTATGGTCCGATATTAATCGAAATATTGGTTACTCGGTCTAAAACTAACCAATGTGCTTGATTGACATTGCTGAAAAATTGGTTAAATGAAGGACGCGGTTGCCTGAAAAATAGTGACTTAAACGTCAATCCACCATCCGGTATATTTTTATGGTTACCGTTGAGTAGACGAATGTCATTCTGTCACAAAAGTAACGCGACTTTCGGTCCGTTGTCCAAAAACAACCCACAAATAGTTTTTTTTCGGGAACCGTTATCAAAAATTTCTGGTTATTTACTGGTAGTAGACGGTTAATATCGGACCATTCCTCTAATGTAGATGAATTTGTCTTAGGGTATGGTCCGATATTAACAAAAATGTCGGTTACTCCGTTCCAAAGTTAGCCACCCTGCTTGACATTTCTGAAAAAGCGGTTAAAATAGGGACGCGTTTGCCTGAAAAATGGTGACTCAAACGTTAGTTCACTAACCAGTATATTTTTATTGTTACCATTAAGTCGAATGCAAATCTGTCACAGAAGTGAAGCGACTCTCGGTCCGTACTTCAAATACAACCAACAAACAGGGGCGTGCGGTCCATGGAAGCGGGGGAAGTACCGCTTCCCTACACTTTCAAATTTAAAAATAAATATTTTTAAGTTTATAATGCACAGAAATTAATATTAAATTAGGTACTATATTTTCTCTGAAACATTACGTAAACTTCGTAAATGTACTAACAATTCATTGGTGTAATGTGTAAACGCACGCACCGCCCATGAGAAAATTAATTGTGTAAACGTACACACGAGTCCGTCGGCGGAAGCGCGTCTTGAATTAGCCGGAAAATTTTAGATTTTAGGTAGATTTCGGTTTGCTTTTCTTTTTGTAAAATGGAGGAACTATGCACTGTGCCTGTGAACAATAATAATGTGGTAAATTGTGTCTGTATTGTGTGCTCTTTATTGAAAAAAGGATTTTCAAGTAGAAATTTAGAGACGAAAGTAGAAAAATCAGCAAAGATATTTACCAGGCATTTTCACTATGAAAAGTATGAATGGTTAACCGGCTGCAAAACTTTGAAGAAATTGTTTTGCTGGCCTTGCCAATATTTTTAATATAGTCGAAAAAAGACATTGAAACTCAGTCGGTATTACAGACTTGAATAATTTTCACAAAAGTGTAAAACGACATGTAAATAGCAAATCTCATATAAGTGCTACAATTAAAGAAAAAACATTCGGGACCTATCGCACTGAAAATAGTTTGGACAATCATTTAAAAATAAGCAACAAAATTCACAATGAAAGGGTAAAAAAATAGGGACGTCTTACAACGATTAATAGATGTAACTTGTTTCCTGGGAGAGCATGAATGAACTAAGTTTTAGGTGTAACAGCAAGTGGATCCGCCAATCGAGGAAATTACATAGACCTTCTAAGTTTTTTTTTTAGCAAAATACGATGATTTTTTCGATATTCCAGCATTAAAGTCCCAGTTAAGTGTTGTTTATGAAACAACTGAAATTAGTGATAAAAAGACGCCCATCAATGTGTTAAATTTTCTTATAACAACTGGTTTAAATAAGTCCCTTTGTGAAGTCCGTCAAGTTGTGTGAATTAGTACTAACCATCCCAGCCACAAGTGCGTCAGTTGAGCGAAGTTTTTCAGCTTTAAAGCGCATTAAAAGTTTTATACGAAATTCAACAAGTGAAGACAGACTCTTTAATTTAGCCCTAACATCCATTGAAAAACAGCTTGTTAAGCAGAAAATCCAAAATGTTACGACGATGTTATAGACAAATTTGCAGCCATTGAGGATAGGCGAATAGATCTTAAGTATAAATAAATGTCAACTGCTGTGTCAATTGTGCGAAAAATTCTGGAGCAAATAAAAAAAACTTCAGTTAAAGTTTTTTTTACGTTTAAATAAACCAAGGAAGCTTTTCAATGGTAAGCTTTTTATAGCTTCTAATACTAAATTAGGTAATAAAGTAATAGTAACACTTCAAAAATCTCAATCTCGAATATCCTTAGTACTGAGGAAAAAAAGCAAGATTTTGACAAAATGGTGAATGCGCCGCGAAAATTTTTCATCTGCGGCGCTGTGCTTACTGGCCTGCTGTATTTTTATACAATCGCTTCCCCTTCCAAAAATGTCACCGCACGCCACTGCCAACAAATAGGTTTGTCCTGGGTTTGTCATTAACCGGTGTCAAAAAATTCTTTACTTACGGTTAGTAGTCGAGTAATATCGGACCATACCCAAAAATGATGACTCAAACATTAGTCCACGAACCGGTATATTTTTATGGTTATCGTTATCCGTGGTCCAAATATTACCAACAAATATCGGTTTTTTTCAGGAACCGCTGTCAAAAATATTGGTTGGTTACCGTTAGTAGTCGGTTAATATCGGACCATACCCTCTAATTTATTGCAATCATTTTGGAAGTTTAACTTGTTTATCATTAAAAAATGTTCTGTAAAGTTTTTTGTTTCTCTTAATATATGTTTTAGTACATTCAGAACTTGTAGAATCATTTTAGACTATAAATGAACCACCAACAAGCAACATGTAGTTTTTATAAACACATGAACACTTTTACTGAGGTCTCCTACCTATATTTTCTCATCCCCACTTTATAACACTTTTCTCCATGTTTCTGATTACTATAAGTCGGCACGATAACTCAAAAATGAAAACGCCGATGGACTTATAATATTCATCAAAGCGAGAACCCTATTAATTTTTAGAATTGTCAGTTTAACTTTAGTGCATTAAATACTAGCTTTTTTAAAATGCAATGCATTTCTTATGGATCTTATTGTAAGCACTGCTACACGGCTACTGGATGACACAATTTCAATAGATTGTCCTGTAAGTGAAATAACCACATACTTTGATTGAAATAACAGACATATTTGTCTATCTTATTTGTCATTCTTAAATGTCAAATAAATGATTTAAAGTTTTTAAACGCCTTTTAAAGAATTTTATTTAAGCCTTTATTCAATGTTTAAGCTTAAATAAATGTGTATCTTACGCGAAGAACATAAAGGAAAATGAAGTAAAGATTGATTTTTGCACGAGCTTTAACGAATATCTGAATTTGATATTAAAATCAAAAAGGTCCACATATTATTTTAGCAAGGGAAAGCTTAAGTGGTTAAAAACCCAAATATTTTTACATAAACGAGTTTAAATGGCTCAAATATTTTTACTTGTGGTGGATACAGGCGTAAGTAGTAAAGAGACCAAATAATTTGATTTGGGGTGGCTTAAGGAATAGAGGGAAAAACTATTTTTATATGAGTAGGCTTAAGGAGTAAAGGGACCAAACATTTTTATAAACCCAAACCAAAAGTATACAAGAAGTATTTTGATTACTATAGTGTGACAAATCATAATTACATCTGACTTCGTTGTCATGGTAACATGTTTTGTGTAGAAACAAATACGTGTCACCAACATTGTTTTGACATGACGACCTATCACGGTCCTTTAAACTAAAAAAATAAATAAAAATAAGGGTCCGGACAACTTTAATTCTTTAATAAATTTTAATGCGTAATTTGTTGGGTTATTTTTATTTTTTAATTACCTGGTATCCTTCTGGCAGCGGATCGTGTCTTATACAAAGCGTTATGTAGTCCCCAGGCCGAAGAAGTTCCATTACAGCTTCCTGATGAGTAGCATGGGTGACATCTGTACCGTTTACTTTCAAAATTCGATCGCCTACTCTTAATTTACCACTTTTTGCTGCTGTACCACCAGGAACCAACTAAAAACGAAATAAACATACATGCATAATAGTTTCTACTATAAGATAATGAGAGTTCCTAGTCATGTTACAATTAAATTAAACGAAAACTTTTAAATAAGATTACGTAATAAAATTTACTTACATGTGAAATAAAAATGCCTGGTTCCTTGGCACCAAACGGAATACTGGAATGATCTGTACCTCCTATAATACTGAAACCTAATGATCCTCCTAATTTACTTAACGAAACATCCTGAAATTTAACAAAAAAAAAATATACATGTAGTTGCCAATGTTCAAAAATATTTTATCTCTTAACAAAACTCATTTTTAATCTTTTTGCAAAAAAATCAAAATACCAGAAATTACAAATCATTTTAGTAATTTTTCGTAGCATCATGAAATTTGGAGATACTACAATCAAAATTTATCAATAATTTCAGTTAAATTGCTTAATTATTTTTAACATTATCAAAATAAATACTGGCTCTATCTAATGAATTCTATATTTCTCAATTTTACTTATATAATAGTGCCTAAAACTAAGAAAAACTAAAATCTAAAAGAGACAAAGAGTTTCAGAGCTGGTGGCAATGACATAATGTGTGTGAGGTAAAAAAATTAGAGTGAAGCGCTTGGTGGTAAATAAAGGAAAATAGGAAATAGTAAGGAATACGTGTGGATACTTTTCTGCTTACTTTTTACCTTTTTTTGCTGCTGGGTCACTAACGACTAGCGCTGATACGAGTTATGTCTAACATACTAAAGTTAGTGCTTCATGTACAGTTCTGATAATTGAAAAACTACATTTTTGTCTATCTATCGAAGTCGATCATTGAGTACAAAACTTGAGTATTAACGTTTTCTGGTAACGTTGGATAAATTAATACAAATAATAGTAATAATATTAAAAAGTAATTAATACTGAACAATTTTGTTTTTAGTAGTAAAATTTATCTTTTTTTTTAATTGAAAAGTTAGATAAAAGATGTAATAAATTATCAAAACTGTAAAAAAGTTGCATGCACACATGTCTAACTAAAAATTCAAAATAATATATTCCATAAATGCTTTAAAATATTTCGGAAATGTCACAAATTAATGTACTTTAAAAAAATCATAATTTTATACCCTACTGATTTAATGTTTTAGCGTTTTAGTTTGATATTGAACTAAGGTTTTACTATAAAAAAACAGAAACCATCGAACCAACTACCATTTTTATTTTAATATGAATGATATAATTGTTTAAATGCACGTATAGAAAAATAACATTCAAGGTTAAATTTCACAAGAAAATATAAAAACAATTTTGTGAAATGGGCCCCTATTAACAGTTAAAATAATAAAAAAATATAAATCACATATATTAATCTTCATTATCAATTATTTCAAGTATATATCTTGATGCGTAACAAAATTGTCTGTCTATTTACTGGAAACATTTAATGAGGACCTTAAATAAATCTATGACAAATATTTTTATATGAATGCACAAGAAAACCACCTTAGTATTTTACAAGTATACAGAGGAATCAACAATAATAGGTCTAAAACATCTTAAAACTATCAATCTTGAGGGAAACAAAATCAAAATTATCTCTAAACGAAGTTCACTGCATGAGTTGATTTAGTTCAAATAGATACCTTTATTTGGTTGTATATTGATACCTCGCGCATACATATAGTTAGGTATTATATTATATATTTTTGGTACATTTTATCTAGAACGCTAACAAAATACTACTCCATTTCTTCTCTTGTAAAGACTAACATACTATTCGCAGTAGTATCAACATTCTATTAGAGTTAGAAGTTTTTTAATTTCCTCAACTTTTTACTTAGTGGTATTAAAAATACTAAAATAAGATTACTACTTAAATATAAAACTATTTTTTAGCGATTCATCACATATATTTACTCATTAATTGCCTAATTTTGTACCTATAAACGAATTTATTAAGGTTATGGGAAGTGTTATCTTCCTATTCAAACATTCTTTATTAAAACTGTTCTAGTTCCCATTTTTTATCGTTGTCGCTATTATTTGATTGTACAGTACATATCAAAGAAAAAATAATCCAATGTAGTGAAATCGGTTAAAAGTATCATATTGATAATGAAAAGTTTACTAATTATCATACAGTATGGTTCAAATGAAAGGAATAAATTCATTGTAATGGAAGTAGTTGGTTTTTCGAAAAAATGCTCGGACAGGTCAATTTTGTTTACTTAAAGCGCAATTTTTTAAATAAAATTCAATTTTCCCCCACTTCCCATTTTTGGGCAGTGACGTCATTGATAATTTTTTTAAATAGCAACCCCAATTTTTTTTTCTTGATTTTGATAGATCTTGCAATTTCCTACTCGGAAACATAATATTTGAAATATCTGACATAACAATTTTTTTTGAAAAAAAGTCATTTAAAGATCAAATACATAAATTTTATGTTATTTTGAAACACAATAAATTAATAAAAGATAATTATTTGTAATTAAGTGCTTAATCTAAAATAATAATAATAATAAAAAGAATTTAATGACAATTTCACAAATCCTTTTTTTTATTATTATTTTGTTAGATTAAGCATTTAATTACAAATAATTCTTTTATTCATTTATTGTGTTCTCAAAATAAAATAAAATTTATGTGTCTGATCTTTAAATGTCTTCTATTAAAAAAAAATTGTTATGCAAGATATTTCAAATATTATGTTTCCGAGTAGGAAATTGAAAGATCTATCAAAATCAAAAAATTGAGGTTACCATTTAAAAAAATTGTCAATGACGTCACTGCCCAAAAATGGGAAGTGGGGGAAAATTTAATTCTATTTAAAAAATTGCGCTTTGAGGAAACAAAATTGACCTGTCCGAGCATTTTTTCGAAAAACCAGCTACTTCCATTATAATGAATGTATTCCTTTCATTTGAACCATACTGTATATGTATTTGAATCGAAATTAAAATATCAAGCCGTAATAATTCTATGTTTTCATGGAAAAAATATATGACAAATTATAAAACATTTCTTTGGAAAAATACAGACATCAACAGCTTATAAAGAACAATGGATTTGTAAAATTACTTAATAAATTTTAACTTTTTACCTTCCTATCTGTATACAGATAATTTTTTGTTAACACAATGTTTCTCTATTTAAACAATACATAAAAATTCTGCAGTTAGATTTTTGTGCAATTATATAAAAACTTTTGATAAAATAAATATTTATTTTATTATAAACTCTATATACAAAATTTTATAAATAATGCTCTGGAATTTTGAACAGTTTTAATGAAAACTTGGAACCAATAAGCCCAAGTATACAGGGTGTCCTATTAGTGCGTAATTGTTCAATATTTAAATTTGTGTTATAGACACGCAAAAAAGTTTTAAATAAAAGTTATATGGATTTGAAAAATACATATAAAAATATTTTTGGATGTACAGGGTGTTGCATTTTTGCCTGGCAAATAAAAATTGATGTTTTTTAAACGGAACACTCTGTATTTTATATCATTTTTAGAATGGTTTGGTAACACTGTATCCCCAAAAAAAATGGACAGAGGTAAAAGTAATTATACACAAACCTGGAAGGATGGATTACACTGTCCCAAAAAACATACCGACCAATTAGTCTGACATCGTTTTCCATGAAGACATTGGAAAACATAAGTGTAGAAGATGTGAATATAAGAGGTTTGGTTGTGAGGCAGGGCGATCAGCCACCTCAATAATGACAGTCACTACACAATAGCATATGCAGATGACCTGGTCATTCGGCAAACAGGGAATTTTGAGAACATACTCTGCGAAAGAACGCAAGTAGCTCTACAAATTATCGAACAGTGGTGCAAGGACCATTCACAGTCTATCAATCCTAAGAAGACGGAAATGGTCCTTTTCACAAGGAAAAGGATGAAAATGGAGTTAAAAACCTTCAGAACTCCTAAACACAAAACTAAACTTTGCAACAGAGGTAAAGTACCTAGGTATCACATTTGACAGCAAGTTAATATGGAACTCGCATTTAAAAAACAGAATTAAAAGAGCATACATTGCTTATGAACAATGACGCCGAACCGTGGGGCGCACCTGGGGTTTCTCTCCCAGAGTCGTCGCACGGATTTACAAAACTATCATAAGACCTATGCGGTACAGTTGTATGGGTACCGAAAACCCAAAAATTAACAGCTATCTGTAAATTCGAACAAATTCAAAGAACAGCATGTCTCAACATAACAGGAGCCATGAAAACAATACCGACCAGAGCCATGGAAGTCATTCTTAGTCTCGCTCCCCTTGAAATTTACATCAAGGAGGTTGCTCTGACGACAATGACACGCCTCCGCATGGTTGGAATAGAACCTGATGTAGGATCTGGTGAGGCGAAACGTTGCTTTTGGCAGGAGGCGCTCGATACGCTCCCATTGCTTCAAGCGAACATGGACTCCATCTCACTGAGATATATCGTCCATAAGCCATATAAGGTTTTAATAGAACAAATAGAAGAGCCGGAAGTGGTAGGTACGATTCATATCTACACTGACGGTTCTAAAACAAAACAAGGCTCAGGATGTGGAATATACTCCAGATTCTTAAACCTAAACATAAAATGGATGTGAGCAATAGTGCCAGTGTAGTTTAAACAGAGCTAACGGGGATTCTCATAGCAGCAAAAGAAATAACCAGAAACAATGTCACTGGAAGCAACATGCTCATCTATACAGATAGCAGACAAGCACTACTCACCCTAAACAGACCACGAATTTACTCAGGGTTAGTACTAGAATGTCACGAAGCTCTGGCCGAAGTATCCATCAACAATTTAGTCACCTTAAGATGGATCAAAGGTCATGCCACATCGAAAGGTAACCGTCTTGCTAATTCACTAGCCAAGAGAAAGCATCCAACCAAATACTTTTTGGACCTGGCCCTTCTATTGGCCTGACAAAATCGGTAGTGACAGACCTAATCAAAGAACATTCCCTTGTGAAATTCAAGAAAAGATAGGATAAAACAAGAAACTGCAGAGTTGCCAGGGAGCTCTTAAGTTATCCTGACAACACTGCAGCAAACAAATACTTGACTACGACTAGGAATCTGCGCCTAGTCACAGGCATTCTGACTGGTCATTGCCAAGTACGAAAGCATCTCCATATTATAGGGCTGTCAGAATCCGCACTCTGCAGAGGGTGCGAACAAGAAGATGAGATCATCGAGCATATCCTTTACGATTGCTCGACGCTTTCA